CTTCTCCATCATATCCAACAATGCCAAAATCAAACCCGCCCCGCAGGCCAGAGTACTTGGTGTCATTCTGGACTCCAACCTATCCTTCCAGCCCCAAGTCCAATCTTTAACAAACTCGTGCGACTCCACCTCCGCACCTCCAACATGCAGACTCCACCTCCGCAACATGCAGACTCCACCTCCGCAACATGCAGACTCCACCTCCGCAACATCGCCAAAATCCGCACGTTCCTAACCCCAGAAATCACTAAACAGCTCATCCACTCCCTCATCATATCACGACTCGACTACTGCAACTCCCTCCTCACTGGCCTGCCTCGCCGCTGGCTATCCCCGCTTCAGTCCATCCTGAATACGGCTGCCAGACTCATTCACCTTTCCAACCGCTCCATCTCCGCCACCCCCCTCTGCCAATCCCTCCACTGGCCTCCACTCAGTCTCCGCCACCCCCCTCTGCCAATCCCTCCACTGGCCTCCACTCAGTGTCCTCCACCCCCCTCTGCCAATCCCTCCACTGGCCTCCACTCAGTGTCCTCCACCCCCCTCTGCCAATCCCTCCACTGGCCTCCACTCAGTGTCCTCCACCCCCCTCTGCCAATCCCTCCACTGGCCTCCACTCAGTGTCCTCCACCCCCCTCTGCCAATCCCTCCACTGGCCCCCATTCAGTGTCCTCCACCCCCCCTCTGCCAATCCCTCCACTGGCTTCCGATTGCGCAACGGATCAAATTCAAAATCCTAACACTGACGTACAAAGCCGTCCACCATACTGCCCCGAACTACATCACTGACCTAATATCCAAGTACCGCCCAGCACGCACACTCTGCTCCTCACAAGACCTCCTTCTCTCTAGTTCCCTGGTCTCCTCCTCCCATGCCCGCCTCCAGGACTTCTCCAGGGTGTCACCCATCCTCTGGAACTCCCTGCCCCAACCCATCAGATTATCACCTACTTTCCTCTCCTTTAGGCGCACCCTGAAAACCCATCTCTTCAGGGAAGCCTACCCCACCCCCTGCTAACCTGCTGACCTCCTCCACTCTTCCTACCACTCCATCCCCCACAGCTATCTCCTCCTGTGCCACCATCCCCTCCCTCCTAGATTGTAAGCTCCAAAGAGCAGGGCCCTCGATCCCCTCATGTTTTGCATTGTATTGTTATTGTTCTGTCACATGTTCTGTCCCCCTTTGTAATGTACAGCGCTGAGCGAACTATTGGCGCTTTATAAATACTGTATAATAATAATAATAATCACTCAATTCTGCAAGTGGTTCTGATTTACTATCGCTGTTCTCTAGCCGGTCTAAAACCGCGTCTGACCTAAAGGGACGCTTTTTGGACGCCATGGACGTTTCTCAGTTTCCAGGCAGAAAGAACAGTAAAAATGCAGGCAGGGCGCCGGACAAAGCACTCGGGACAAAATGTATGTGAAATGGTTTGATACAGGAATGTTATACTATGTGATTTTAGTGGATTTAGTGAATGTCACTTTTTGACATTTTCAAATTTCCCACCAGTTCCGTCCCCGTACGTCCCGACGCTCACAGGGCCTGGAACCTGGAAGACAGATGCCAGCATCGGCCGAAAGAGATAGCCGGGGACACTGCAGGGGGGACATCGCGGGAGCGCAGGACAAGGTAAGTGAACAACAGATCCCGGAGCAACACTGCAGAGTATTCCTGAGTGTAGCTCGAGGGGGGGGTTGGGGGTTACCGCTTGTGGTGCTGAAACTTTACCCCGAGCTACACTCGGGAATACTGCCAGGGGGGTTAAGGAAATAAAGTGGCTTGGTGATGGTGGCTTAGGAAAAGAGGTCACAGAGTTAGTTGTAGCAGATGGACTAAACGTCAACCATCCAAAAATAAATCCATTGTAGCACTACCTTCTTAGGAGTCGTTGAGTTTTTGGGTCCTCCTAGAGCTCTGCACAGCCGGGCAACGTGCATTTTCTTTCACACCTGCACACCGGAGACAGTAAACAGTTGTTGAGATTGTTTTTTGTAGTTTTATTGAGGGGTATTCAGCTTGGATGGGGTTGAGTGGTGCAAACGATGCCCAAAGGAACTGTGAACTGTTACATCTTAGCAACCTATGTACAAGTCTGTGAACAAAAAGAACGAAAGTCTCTCCTTTGAAGTGCTCTCCAGCCCTTATGGTGTACCACCTCAAACCCCAGATGAATCCTCCTCTTCACCCGGCTGCCTAAGGGTATCCCTGGGCAAGGGGACCCAATAACTGCCACTTGACAAAGCAGCCCCAGATAAGAAGCTAGTTGAGTTTGCCACCTGACTGTCCTCTCCCCTTATCCAGCTCAGGATTACTCACTCGGTCTCTCCTGTGAATTTGTTGAGTTGGTGGTTGCCTTCAGGCCTTATGCTGGGCTGGCTCTTTCCCTGCTGCACAGGCTGTCCTCTCTCTGTGGACAATGAGGGAAAGAGATCCTCCTCTCCAGCTCCTGCCTGCAGGTAGGCCCCTCTCCTGGGCCAACTCCCAGGATTCACACTCCAGCCTTTACTCCATCTTCCACCCAACACTACCCCCTGCTTATCAGGCTCTCTCTCAAGGCTGTCCTGGCCTCATGCCAAGCCTCCTGCTTGGGGATGGGTCAAGATCCCTTAAACTTCAGATCAGCCCCTCCTCACCCCCACCCACTGCCTTCTAGAAACTTCTCAAGCTTCTAGAACAGGTGGAGGTATTAGGGAACTAACCTGCAGAGCCCTCAGCCCTGACCTACAATAACCTGGCTGACTCATCCCAGGCTGCTATTCAGCCTCTGCCAAAAAAACTAACTAGCTCCCCCTAACTAAACTTGAGGGGCAATACACCAAGAACAGTTCATAGTAAAAAATTACCATGAAAGTCCACCATCCAAAGTGTAGTGAATAGCTTGGGGTATATCTTCCCTTCACAGAAATGCCGATCAACCCTCGTTAAGGATATCGCACCACAGTGTTCCTTCAGCACATGCTCAGTAAAACAGCTTACCAGGATGATTGGACCCTCTAACTCAGGGAAGTCAATACGGGTCTGTGTGTACTCTGCGGTACAGTGTAATCATCCTCCTATATGGAGCTTTGTTAGTTAATCTCCAAGGCTCCACAATGTCCATAGCAAGAAAGCCAAGGAAGCCACAGAGTGTAAAAACCATTGGCTAAAACTTTTACTGAACCAACCAAAATACTCACGAAGGTAAAAGAAGTAATGGATGTTGTAACGGAACTGACCCCAGACTGCACTTAGGCACTTCTGTTAGACTACCGCTTCCCCGTCTGAACACCGACCACAGACACCACAGCTGACCATACAAGACTAGACGACACCAGTCTTGAAGTAATCCAGAAGGTAGACTAGTTTATTTTAACAGAGATACAAGATATATACACTCAAGGGAACAATCCCCCCTCTCCGCATAATGACACAGGGTGGGGCAATCTACATTTAGTAACAAGAGACACACCAACAGACAGTCCCATCAGGAGAGAGGGCTGCTGGTGACACCTCCCCACCAAGCCAATACACATAAACACATACCCATTCCCATAATAGTTTGCTCCCAAGCCAGACACACAATAGAACAATGGGATGCAACCACATAACATCAAACAATCAACAACGCCTCACCCCAATATTAGGACAAATCACCCTGTACCCCTAACAGGCACAGGGTGACTTACACATAAGAGGGATATGGGGAGCTGAGACAGGGGTCTCCCCACCTCCCCAAAGTGAGCTGTGTTCCATGGGCCCCCCACCCAAAGTGACTCCCGTCACAGCTGTAACAATATTAAGCTGGTTCCAAGAGTTAGAAGGTGCCGCTTCCAGACGCCATAATGCGTCAGCTCCGCCCTATGCGTTTTGTATTAACTTTTTCTGATAATATGGTAGTTTTCTATGAACTGTTCTTGCATTTAATTTTTTTTACATGTAGTGTTTGATGTGGAGATTGATTTTCAAGCGCTGCGCTTTTTTTTTTTTACATACTTTTATATATTTGTTGGTGAGCTAGCGGTTACTAATTCAACTTTTCTTACCAATTTTTGTGCTCCGCCTAAACCAGATTCTCTCACCAAAGCCATAGTAAGTCACAAGGTGCAAACTGAATTTGTTTAAGATGGCCTTCTAAATGCTAACATGCACAGCTCCCCTGTTACAGGTATAGGCACCCTGTTTTGGGCTGAAGTGTCCCATATCTAAATTTAGATTTCTAGAAGGGTCCTCCCCTTTCAGGTCACTGTCCTGGATAGGATGTAGCTGTGGAAGGTCCTTGCATGGGAGGGGAAGCCAGAAAAAAAAGGGTTTTTGCTCTCCTAGATGCCCATCAGGGCCTAGAGCAGTGATGGCGAACCTTTTTGAGCCCGAGTGCCCAAAACTGCAACACAAACCAACTTTTTTATTTCAAAGTGCCAACACTGCAATTAACCACTTGCCTACCTGGACGCACTGACAGACGGCACTGATTGGTGGCACTGCTGGGCATCATTGATGGGTGGCACTGATGGGCAGCAGTGATGGGCAACACTGCTGGGCACTGACAGGTGGCACTGCTTGGCAGCACTGACAGGTGGCACTGCTGGGCAGCGCTGACAGGCGACACTGCTGGGCACTGATGGGTGACACTGCTGGCACTGATGGATGACACTGCTGGACACTGCTGGGCATCATTGATGGGTGGCACTGATGGGCAGCACTGATGGGCGACACTGCTGGGCACTGACAGGTGGCACTGCTGGCAGCACTGACAGGTGGCACTGCTTGGCAGCACTGACAGGCGACACTGCTGGGCACTGATGGGTGACACTGCTGGGCACTGATGGATGGCACTGCTGGGCATCATTGATGGGTGCACTGATGGGCACAGTGATGGGCGATACTGCTGGGCACTGACATGTGGCACTGCTGGGCAGCACTGACAGGTGGCACTGCTGGGCAGCACTGACAGGCGACACTGCTGGGCACTGATGGGTAACACTGCTGGGCACTGATGGATGGCACTGCTGGGCATCATTGATGGGTGGCACTGATGGGCAGCACTGATGGGCGATACTGCTGGGCACTGACATGTGGCACTGCTGGGCAGCACTGACAGGTGGCACTGCTGGGCAGCACTGACAGGCGACACTGCTGGGTACTGATGGATGGCACTGCTGGGCATCATTGATGGGTGGCACTGATGGGCAGCACTGATGGGCGACACTGCTGGGCACTGACAGGCGACACTACTGGGCACTGATGGATGACACTGCAAGCAGTTAATCTCACCTCTGGCAGCGTCGGTGTGGCTTCCAACCCAGCAGCTCATTCCCATTCATGCTGAACACGTTGCCCCTGGCCCTGGAGCAGTGTTGGAGCAGTGTGGGAGCCTCTTCCTCTCTTCCGCGCCTATCCCCGGGTACATCACCCCTGGTGCCAGAGCCGCATTGGAGCCGTTTCCTCTCGTCCACGCCCACCCTGGCGCCAGAGACATGTGGGAAATGTAGTTTGATGGGGGTCCAGTGTGGACGAGATCTGGATGGCCGGTCCATGTGCGCTCATCATCCTCTTCTTCCTGGCGTGCCCACTGAGATAACTCTGCGTGCCAGCTCTGGCACGCGTGCCATAGGTTCGCCATCACTGGCCTAGAGTATTCAAATTGGCCTGTAATAGCAGCCTAAAGAGTCATATGCTGTGGCAGAGACCTAAGAAACTGGAAGGTAGCCGTCCATGTGGGCATACAGAATCTACACTGACCCATGAAAGTGGTCAAAAGAACCTAAGCTGGTCTGTAGTAGAGGCCTAAAAAATGAAAGATATTCACCCTCCTGGGCCTAAAGTGCTCCAGGAAAACTTTGCTGTGCGGAGGAGAGTATTCTGTACCCCTAACCTTCTGTCCAAATGAAGTCCAAACTTGTCTGTGGTAGAAGCCTAAAGAGTCCTAAGCTGGTTTGTGGCAAAGCCATAAGAAATTGAAAGGTATAGAATTTTAACTGACCTATGATATTGGTCCCTATCTAAATTTAGTGTTTTCAGCTAGACTGTAGCCAGCCTGAGCTTTGATTATATTATCTGGGTGCTATGGGTTTCTCCTAAGTCTAGGACAGGGGTAGGCAACCTGCGGCTCTCCAGCTGTTGAAGGACTACAAGTTCCATCATGCCTCTGCAAGTCATAGCTGTAAATGTCAGTTTTGTAATGTTGCAATGCCTCATGGGAAATGTAGTTCCACAACAGCTAGAGAGCCGCAGATTGCCTACCCCTGGTCTAGGACATCGCCTGGTTCTGCCTACTGGTGTTGAGTGCTCTCCAGTAGAGTGAGAGGTTACAATACATTGGGTTTATGATAATGAGGCTGAGGAAGAGAATAAATATTTGGAGGTACCCGGGACCCTTTCCTCCCGGGCTGTTGCCTAGAAAGGATATAACTGTGGAAGTTCATTCCCAGGACTTGTCAGGTGGAAGAATCCAGAAGAAGAAGGGTTTGTGTTCTTCTAGCTGCCCATTTAAGCCTAGAAAATCCACACTGGCCTCTGGTAGAGGTATAAAGAGTCCTGCGCTGGCCTGTAGCAGAGGACTAAGAAACTCGAAGGGAGCCACCCATATGGGCCTACAAAATCTACATTGGCCTGTAGCAGAGGACAAAGAAACTCGAAGGGCGCCACTCATGTGGGCCTACAAAATGTACATTGGCCTGTAGCAGAGGACAAATAAATTAGAAGGTAACCACCCATGTGGGCCTTCAAAACCTACATTGGCCTGTAGCAGAGGACTAAGAAACTCAAAAATAGCCACCCATGTGGGCCTACAAAGTCTTCACTGTCTGTAACAGAGGACTAAGAAACTCAAAGATAGCCACCTATGTGGGCCTCCAAAATCTACATTGGCCTGTAGCAGAGGACTAAGAAACTCGAAGGTAGCCACCCATGCGGTCTACAAAATCTTCATTGGTCTGCAAGAGAGGCCTAAAGAGTCCTAAAGCTAACCTGAGGTCAAAAGATGATCATTTCTGGTCTTCTTAGGATTTTTTTTTCAGCCTTCAACAATTCTGGAAGTGTCAGATTCTTGTGTGGTCCACCATGCACTGTGGTTCCATCCTCTGGTTTCTTCATCAATGCTGTATTCTATAGGGACATGGGGGTGGAAAATGATATCACAGCGCATGGGGGGAAACACTCAAACAAATCTTGGGGAGGCTGCTGCGCTGGAATAGAGGGAAGACAGAAGAATGGACCACCAGGAAGTTGAGTATAATGCCTCTTCTGTTACAGGGCCTGTATTTGGGGACTTTTGGAGGCCTGACAGGGTCTCTTCAAGGCCAACATTCTGGTTCTGATCTCAATATCCAAAAAAAGACACACGTTTGCCTGTTTTTTCAAGTTTGTGTGCATTTCTTTAAAAAAAAAGACCTGTGTGAGGTCCTTTAAAAAGCTCCAGATAAAAGACGATCAGCTCCTTCTATACAAAATCACCGTCAAGAATGAACAGAGAAAAATCTACTCACAGTACAAAGCCCGAGGTCAGAAACACTTGTTAGAAACCAACCCGGTCTACACCCTCGTGTGCTCCGCCTGTCCAAGTATTACAAATACCTGCTGTGTTCATCCACGCTCCACCAAAGCTGAGATTAATGTGCTCAGGGTTGTTTGCAGCTCTTAGGCATGCAATAAAACGGAAAGCTCCAGACGGCATATCGGTGTTCATTGCAAATTACAGATAAATAGAACAGAACATATAAAATAATGGGGGAAAAGTATCTCAAAGTATCTTTTCTGTCTAAAAAATTCTTGGTTTAGTTTAAGGGATCCCATCAACTGCAAGAAGAGATATCTGCAAATGCTCAGTTTATTAAAGGCACTACCCTGCTCAGCATATCATCAACAGGAAATAATGGCTTTCAGCCAGTGGCGTCATTAGGGGGGTGTGGGGGGTGCGGGGACCGTGTGACACCATCACAGGGGGTGACACCAAAATGTAAAGTAGAAAATTTGTTTAGGCCCTCCCCCCCCCATCTGTGTGTCATCAGTGGCGTCCCGAGGCAGGTACGGGGGGTGTGGTCCACACCGGGTGACACCGACCACACGGGGTGACACCGGACCACCTCCACAAAAAAGGTAAGTTGTAAAGCAAGCCGACGATCCCTGCAGGATGGATCGGATCCATCCTGCGGGGATCGTCGGCTTTCTTTACAAATTACCTTTTCTTGGAGCGGGTCCGGTGTCACCCCGTATAGGTTGCATGCCGACAATGCTGCGGGGATCGTCGGCATGCAACCTATACGGGGGTGATGCCGGACCCGCTCCAAGAAAAGGTAAGTTGTAAAGAAAGCCGACGATCCCCGCAGGATGGATCGGATCTGCGGATTGAGCATAATGGATCGGAGTCCATTCTGCGGGGATTGTTGGAGGGGGTGTCACCAAGTGTTACCGCACCGGGTGACACCAACCCTAGGGACACCTCTGTGTGTCATAACCCCCAATAATGTACAGAGAGCTGTCAGTCGTGTACAGGGGAGAGGAGGACAGGAGGAAGCTTCCGGCACATCACACTCAGCCCCGGGGCAGGACCACCGGAGGTGTGTGTGTGGGGAGCAGGAGAAGTGTAGCCGGACCCCAGGGCCCCTGACCTGTGAGAGGAGCCGGACACGGGGAGGTGAGAGAGGAGCGAACAGAGAGCTCTGGTCCAGGGGGCGTGACGGGGACACAGGGAGGGGAAGAGCCAGGCTGTGTGTGCATTATAGGGACTGCTCACCTCTGGAGGGGTGACACCACATGTTACCGCACCGGGTGACACCCACCCTAGTGAGGCCTCTGCTTTGAGCTCCATAACACAACAGGATCGTCTTTTCTGCTTTAGGTAATGTGTGCGGTCAGTCTGCATGATGCAGACCAGGGGACTCCAATCTATGTCCTGTGAGCCACATCAACAAGAACTTAACCGGCCCATGGTCAGGTTCCTTGGCATATCCTCAATGTGCACAGACTGAGGAGTCTGCCTATGGCCTCTGCTTCGACCTGATGTAACAGGTACCCTAATATAAAGGGGACTCTGATGGGGACTCTGATGTAAAGGGGGACTTTGAAGGAGACCCTGATGTAAAGGGAGACTCCAGAGGGGGACTCTGATGTAAAGGGAGACTCCAGAGGGGGACTCTGATGTAAAGGGAGACTCCATGGGGGGACTCTGATGTACAGGGAGACTCCAGAGGGGGACTCTGATATAAAGGGAGACTCCAGAGGGGGACTCTGATGTAAAGGGAGACTCCAGAGGGGGACTCTGATGAAAGAGGAGCTCTGATGTAATGGAGACTCTAATAAGAACCTTGATGTAAGGGGGATATCTGATGGGGGCTATGAAGTAAGGAGAGACTCCGATGGGGACCCTGATTTGTTTATAAAACAGTTTTTTTTGGCCCCCAAGTATTTGTAAATATATTATGTGGCCCTCGTACTCCCTCGAGGGATAGAAGAAAGAAAGGAAAAAAGGAAAGACGAAAGACAGGAAGGAAAAAAGGAAGGAAACAGGAGGAAGGAAAGAAAAGAAGAGAACAAAGGAAGGAAGAAAAGGAAGGAAAAGAAAAGAAAAGGTGAAAAGGAAAAAGAAAAGGAAAGGAAAGGAAAGGAAAAGAAAGAAGGAAAGGAATGGAAAAGAAAAAAGGAAAGGTGGAAAGAAAAAGAAGAAATGAAGGAAGGGAAAGGAAAAAAAAAAAAGGAGGGAAAAAGGAAAGGAAAGGAAAAGAAAGGAAAGGAAAGGAAAAGAAGAAATGAAGGAAAGGAAAGGAAAAGAAAGGAAAAGAAAGGAAAGGAAAGGAAAAGAAAGAAGGAAGGGAAAGGAAAGGAAAAGAAAGGAAAGGAAAAAAAGAAGGAAGGGAAAGGAAAGAAAAAGAAAAGAATGGAAAGGAAAGGAAAGAAAAAAGAAAGGAAAGGAAAAGAAAGAAAGAAAGGAAAGGAAAAGAAAGGAAAGGAAAGGTGAAAAGGAAAAATAAGAAAGGAAGGAAGGGAAAAGAAAGGAAAAAAGGAGGGAAAAAGGAAGGAAGTAAGGGAAGAGAGGGATGGAAGGAACGAAAGGGAAAAGAAACAAAAAAAGAAAAGAGAGAGAGAAAACCGGGGGAGAGAGAGAAGACCAGGGGAAATAGCGAGTTGGATGTAAAGCAGAGATCTGATTGGCTGACGTTGGTCCCAGTATCATCTGACATATTAATAGGCATACAATGTAACTCTTGCAGAGGTCTCAGCGTGGTTCCCCTGACACTTCCCGATCCATTCTTTCGTATCTAATGAATTCAGATTTTATTACCAGGAACGACTTATCTCAGTTTTCACTTCAGCGACACGTTTGCCGATCATCGATTACGCATTTGAAATTCCAATAAGTTGACCGTTTACAGACCAGAACTGG